CCCCTAGATACGCCACTGATGCCATTGCTATGTCAATTGTATATTAAAACAAACTGCAAGTTTGCTTGTAACCATTTCTTATTTGTCCAATTCATTATCTTTATTTAGACTGAATAAAGTAATATTGTGGAAATGTGACCAGCTTTTGTTCCAGACACACGCTTGAATGCACTGTAACTGCAATATTGTGTTAACATTACTAGGTCTGAGATGGAACACCGATTAACCCTAATATTGTGGCTGCAGTTAGCCCTGACCTATTCATACAGAAGGCAATGCCGGAAAGATTCCCGTAATATTGCTGTAACGTAGCTCTGTATGAAAGTGGCTTTCGAAAGATGAACATGCACCAATGTTTAGGCAATTTAACACTGTAACAGCCATTAAAAACCATATGGCACCACAAGTATGTTGTGAGGATGACATTTGGTTATAACATAAAACTTTTATAACATACAACAATTAAAAAAGGTACCTCACTAATAACACTTGAAAAAATGAAGGCATAAACTGTCCAAAATTAAGAAATGGATAAATGCTACAACAATGGGTATTATCCTCACAAAATGTAACTACAGTATATACAATTTATGTCTACTAATCTTTCAAAACCGATTACAGAAAAGTCTAATACCAAATCATCCCTTGCTTACGGGGCAACTTGAATTGTGTAAATTCTAGTGCCTCGGTGCATGCAAAATTTTGGTTGAAATGCATGCGAGCGCAGATAGTGTTGATTAACTGAAAAGTCGAGAGATAATTAATGTCAACTTGCGGTGATCATAGAGGCATGTCAAAAAGAATAATAATATCATGACACCATGTAAAACCTTTTTCAATGGAAATGACATATTAATTGACCTCTGTAGGGTAGGAAGCTATCGAACCGGTGTATTCAAACGGAAACAAACAATCCTTCAAGAGGCCCAACTAACTAAAGCTAAAGTAACTTCTTAACTATTTAGCTGTCGTCGGAACAATTTGTTTAATTAAACTGCCAGTCACTTAGATTGATTGAGCGAATGTTCCAGTATGTTCACCTCCTGTTGAAAGTGATATAAATACCTACACTTTTAGCAAAGGATGCACATAGCAAAATACATGTACTTGCAGCAACGTCTCTGATGGAATGTGTGTACAGAGGAATAGAGGTTTGTGTCATGGTGTGAGGTATGAGGGTGCAAGTGAGGGGCTGTGTAGGTACTGTTTTATTGTACAAAATATGTAGCAAATGTTTAGTATCTATGTCATAGAAACTATGTCTAATATACATGTCTATTTCAATATCTAATATTCTTTCTCTGTTGAATCTGTAGGAGGTGTACACTACTGTGTGTGAACAAACCATTCAACACACAGAGTCGCATGCCGTCATAACTTTCAATTGTATTCTATATCATTTTGACTGACCTTTAGTAAATTGTGCAATAGAGATGTATTTAAATTATTTGGACAAATTAATAATAAATCACCTCACAGTTGTCTTAAATGGATTAGTCCATGGCCAGCTTAATACCAAATGGATAAATGAAAGCAGCATCATTCTGTTCATTTGATAAGCATTACTACAATCTCCTTGAAGTCAATTCCTCTTTGCTTTCGAAAGATTATCAAATAAATACTTGATGATTCAAACTTAAAATTACGGATAATTTTACATTCAGTAAATGAAAAAGTCACAGGCGATGATATCTGAAACCTCAACTGTCTCAAAAGAAGAGAATCTTAATAATACAGAGGCCGATAGCCATTCGCAACTTGCGCCTAATAGAATCTACTGTTTCAAAAAAGGAATCTCTATACAGCAGTTAGCCATTCGCAACAAGTGCCTAATAGAAACTTCTCTCTCAAGGAGAGAATCTATACAGAGGCCGATAGCCATTCGCAACACGAGAGTTCTTATTTATGTTTTAACAAAATTAAATCACTAATTATTATTTTAATAATATTTTACCTGTTTATACCAAAATACAGTTTTCAAATGCAATGTGAGCAAAGTATTTTATCTGGAGATAAAAGTAAATGGGATTAAATAAAACATTTAGTGTATACTTTTTTAAACAGGAGAAATGTACTTCTGACGAAAGCCTGACTGGTAGCAGGCGAAACCGTTAACACAGCAAATAACAGTACAGTAATTTGCATTGGTTTAAACACAATTTTTATTAATTGAACTATACTCCTTACCTGGAATGCCCTGGTATAAACAGGCTCAACATAGTAATCAATGATTTAATTTCCCTGAAATAATAAAAGAATCTAAATTGTAATCTATTCAATACATTATGAAATATAATATAATATTACATTTCAAGATCATTAAATATGCAAATGATTAAAAATGTACTGCAATGTGGAATCCAGTAGAATAAAATGCTACAAGCTATTAAATCATCCATAAATACTAGAAAGTATGCAGCAAAAAGACAGGCGGTCAGGTAAATAGATACATTGATGGATTATTGAATCATAAATAAACAAGACACAACAAAGAATGATATACAGACAGATACATTGATTAATTTGAGGACATATTCAAACGGACATAAACACTGGGGAAAATGACACCTAAACACAGACACACCCACATACAGACACACACACAGACCGACCCACACACAGACAGACAGAGACAAATATTAATAAAATATCCAGACAACATACATAGAGCACATCCACACCTTATAAATTTGAAATGCGAGTTGAATTAAATCAATAAAATCACAGTATACAAAATGTATAATAATCACCGTTGATAAATTGGAGGACCAGTTATAACAACCATTCTGCCAGAGAATAACGCATAGATCAAATGACTTGCAAACGAACAATGGCTTAAAAAGTTCTTCAATTTAAAACCTATAAAAGAAAAAAAATGTTAACATCATTATTATTTTAGTTAAAAATAATTAATAATTAGAAAACAAAATAATAATAATCCAAAATGTTTTAATTTTCCATCATGCTTTAGTTTATCCGCAATTTTCTGAACAAAACTGTCAAAAATTATTTAGAAATGAAGATATTTTGTTTAATCACATGATGAGGGGAACATGGGGTGGGGGGAAATTTGATTACAGTAGAACCCCTCATTTACGAATGGGACGGGCCCAGAGGCGTTTGTAAAAATCATTCGTACATAAAATCAGGGTTGTGTGAAATTCCTATGTATTTACACTACTGATATGCTAGGCTGGTCTAGGCCTGGACTGAAATTTTGTTGGATTGGAGCCAAAACTCCAACTTGTACTCGAAAGAAATTCAAACTAACGATAAAAAATGTACAGTACTATACATACTTGTTAATGTGTATACAAACTTATTCTCTCTTTCTCAGACAATAATATATGACTTATCTTCTAGCTTACTTCAGGGCGAGTAATGCAAGAACGTTTTTTACTCGATCCATGTGCTTGTGCCGTCAAGTAAATACCTGTACAGAATAACCCGGAAACCAGGGTAGGGGTTCACAACTTTTTAAAAGAGAGCGCACCTGATTAGCTGTAGACACGGCGCTTGGACTTTAGTGAGATTTGATAAATAAAATCTATTTATAATTAGGGGGTTCATTATATTACGATATGAGGGTGTTGTATTCAGAGATGAATAAATTATGCGCTTATCGATATGCCGACAACGATATGTGAATAAACTCCAGCACGCGCCTAACAATTAATTCTGGACATGCATGTGTGTTTTGTACATGAAATAGGAACTTTATGACAACAATGACATGATTTTACGTTCGTAAAATTGGGGTTCGTAAATGAGGGGTTCTACTGTACTTTTGAGTGTTAGTGTGCATAGCTTATATGCAAACAAAGAATCCTAGAATTGCATCTGCTTCAGTGCTTATGGTTATTATTTCAGTGACAGGGACATACACACTCATGGTGTGTGAAATCGCAACTCCCTGGTGACAGGGGTGAGATTATTCCAGGGATGCTACAAGAATATGTAAATTTACCAGGTACTTATTTAATCCCCAGGGAAGCTCAGAGAAGAGCAGCAAAAAAAAAGAAAAAAAAAAAAAAGAAAAAGAAGAAAAACCTTGCCCATCCACATGAAAATACTAGTCAATCTCCAGATTAAAAACCCTTACAATATATATTTAGATTTCCCCTTTTTTCAGTTACAAAATTGTTATTGTTCATTGTACAAATATTGTGAAAACTGGCTTGATATTCAACCACTGCATTACTCATTTTAAGGTTATTAGGTTTTAAAGCCGTAAGAACAGAATATCAAATGAACACAAATATTTTTATTACTATATAATCCTAATATTAATAATAGCAATGGTATTAATTGTAAAATCAATAGTATAAAAGTCTTGAAATGAGAATGCAACTTAAACTTTCTGATTTATACGTATTTAATTACAAATACAATGACTGCATAATTTTAGAAAGTCAGGACCACAAGCGATGCTGTCTTTCACATTCAACTCAATTCATATATAGCCAATGATAATTGTAAAAGACAAACATATCCATTGTATTATATATTATTAACTATTAAAAAAAATCATGTATTTCATTGTATTTTAACTTTACTACAGTATTTAATATTTTAATGTTTATTTTTATAATGTTAACATCGTTCCATATTTTATTCTGTTTTTCTAATTGAAATTACATCAAGCCCAATATGTTTCAATTATGGCAAATTTTACACCGAATAAATCCACTCCAATCCAAATCAAACTTTATTTGTCCATTAAAAACAAGTAAAATGACATTTCTTTTTCTACTGACAAAAAACATGAAACAATTAAATATAGTGCAAAATCAGCTTTCAAATATCATTGTAAAAATATTAAAAACACCAAAAGAACCAGAAACAAAAATTGGAAAGTTAAACATTGCTTGAAATTTCAAATTATTAATAATTTCTTTGATTTCAGACCCAAGTATACCTCTACAAGATGCTCAAAATTTGAAACACGGCTACATGTTTTTTTGTTTTTACATTGCACTAAAGGATAACGAATTAGGATAGATTTAAACATGCAGGAATTGGATGTGCAGATCCGTCATATTTGAAGTCTGAATTAATGTAGGATAGGATAGAGCAACTTTTGTGTCTATTGCTCCCTCGGGGGGCACAAACACTATTATCGTTTGGCATTAAACCCTGGACGAGCGAGTAAATCTGGTGGAGGTGCATGATGGGTACTAATAAAATGAGGTTGGGGGGGGGGTTGCCCTATTAGAAAACGAATGGAGTTTAAAACTTAAACAAACTTGCATTTGAAACTCAAATATGCATCATAGAGACGCAGCACGCGTTCGATACAAATGCCTCTCATGGTATTTTGAAGGACGCCTTCTAGATCGTTGTAGTACTTTTCGAGATACTGTACAGTAATGTACACTATAGGCAATAGACACACACTCTTGCTAGGAGCCGATTTTTAGAAGAAAACAACAAAACATAAAAACTACAGGCCAAATTTGTGGCACTGAAGAAAAAACTGCTGACCACTTACTCCCAGTACGGTTAATCTCAGAGGGTATTGAATTGTAAAATTATGTTGTATCAGTTGATATCCATTTCAGGTGCTGATGATTAAATTACAGAGCCGTTGAGAAAATGGAGAAGTAAAACAGATCCTTCTTAAGCTATCTGTCCACAGACAATTATGGCACAGTTAATAATATACAGTAATGTATCAGTTCATTTAAGAGCAATGTTGTACAGTATATGTTTACATTAGAAGATGAACCAGTCGAATTCTAGTATCAAAGCATTCTCTGCTGTTCATTCACCCCATTGCATCCTATGCTCTATAATTAACTAAGGTTAAAGATATCAATATAAAATCCCCAATATTTTAACCCTTAATGAGATAGTTTCAGGAGGTAAACTGTAATTGAGTCAATTTGAGTCGTCAGCATGGCACATCACAACCAATCAGATTAAAGGAATCTCAGGATGATTACTATTTTCCCTAGGCATAAAAGGATGGTTGTGGTCTCAGGAAGATGGTATTACCACGAGTATTTGCCATTTGTCATATATCCGATTCTACAATGGCAGATTATTTCATTAACCATGGCATAGATCTATTCACCTGTCATACCAAACCAATTCAAGCCTTAAAATTTCATTAAAACCTATATTTTACTATGCTGTTAAGCAGCTTTTTAGTATTTCTGTAAATCCAGCACGTTCCTTGACAGAACATACTGTCAAATTGTGCAATTGTAGATCCTTGCATCTGTAATTTGAATAATCTTATGTATGTGCATACTGTATATGCTTGAATAAGCGCCGCACCAAACCTGATTTTTTTCGCTTAGCGCTACTCTCGAATAAGTGCCATGGCGCTTAATCGTATTTTACCCTGTGTGTAATGAAACACTTTGAGAAACAGGGTTTTAAATACAATGAATACAGTGCTAAAATGAATGAATACCACAAGGAAGACACAAGCATTTCTTTATAAACAGCTTCTTACAAAAATGTAGGACCTACAGTATGGTAGGTCTACTGAACTATGGGAATACGTAAGATAGGTAACATGGGAACAGGCATGAAAAGGGCCACGGCAATATTTTTTTATAAGCGCCGCACTGAAGCATCCAAAAATTTTATAAGCGCTGCGGTGCTTATTCGAGCATTTACGGTACTTGGTAAAAAACAAGTAGTGATAGCAATTGTGGCTATGTCAAACTACCAGCAGCTGCGATTCAAGCCAAAAAAAAAATCTTATTACTAACAAAACATTGCTTTCTTTAATTGGAGGCCTGTGTGCATGGAGGATGTGAGACTAGCCTTTCAAATCACCTTAAGCATAGCTGTGAAAACTTGCACATCATTTGGAGATATCCCCATCCATATTCCTAGTTGGTCCCAGACAATTTTCTCACTTATTCCCATCATTTCCAATGCAGATTCCCATGATCCACACACTTTAACTGCTTTTCTTGATGTCACAGCTAGTAAACCTAATTGATTAGTTCTGATGTCCAAGTCTTGAGGCGGTCAAAATCCATAGGTCATGATAAGTAGATAAATGAGACATTAACTTGTCCTTAAATCTAAATCAATGATGACATTACTTTGAATACTGATATTCACAAGTTATTGCTTCAGAACTTCATGCGGCTTAAACAACAGATAATTGTTTTTTTAAACCTAGGTTACAATATTTATTCTGGATCAAAAAACATATTTTGCAAGGTAGAAAAATATTCTAGAGATTTTGACAGGCTAATTGGCAATAAACTAATGCAACAGACTTAGTACTGTAGAACGATTAATCACAAATATATCCGCCAGGTAACTTCTTTTATAAATTAAGATAACACCCTTGGAGTTGATTAATAATCCTGCGTAGAACACCGGCTGATGACAAACACAGCCATATTATTTATTAGTGAAATAGCATTGATAATTTAATTAATGAAAACATAAATAACATAGGTACAGTATATGATCTTTTAAAGTGCATACAAAGTGGGCAAGTTATTGAAAACGCAAATCTAAATGTTTGGATATAATATTAAAAATTCATTTTAATTGTGATATTAACAACAGTAATTATCAACAATATCATTAAAATTTCTGAAAAACTAATAATAACAAAAACAAAAATAACATTAATATAACAATAAAATAATGTTAATGAAATAATAATTATTATTAAATTAAATGGACAATTCAAGTATATTTGAATTTTAAATAGTTAATAATTTATATGCACAATTTTGAGAACATTTTACAGTAGAACCTCGTTTTTACGTACCCCAGTTATACGAACCCTCGGTTTTACGTACGCCTCGTATCGACGATGACGTCATCAAAAACCCCGAAAATATTCAAAACAAACGGCCCTTTTCAGAGCAACCATA